TCTGATTGTGGCAATAACACGTCCTGGCTCCTCCCCTTCTCTGACAGTGACTTCATAATGGCTCTGAGACAAAACGGGCCCTTCATTGATGTCATCGATAAAAATGGTGACAGTTGCTGTGGATGCCGGTCCATATCTGCCTCGGACAAGAGCAACTGGGTTCTGAGCGCTCAGCACCAGTATGTACTCATTCTCCCGTTCAAAGTCCAGCACCTGCACACAAATGAACACACTGTTAGTACAGTATGTTTATTTTTGATGCATGGAGGATGGCTTCAAGAGAAAATAAAGCCACTCTGTAATTATGAACATTGAAAAAGGACAAAAAGGCAGTGCTCTGATTTTCTCTTCATAATCTGTACCAGCACACTGTAGACCAGGACAAAATCGCACAATCTGAGAGTGTCTCACTAGTCATCACAATGTGTCAACCTGCATTTCTGAAGGTAAAATGTGTTCAATTCAGATTCTGAATGACCCATTGTATGCTCTGATGTCATTCATCAAACTGAAGGTCAGATATTTCTGTGGATGCGCACAACCTGTCAAAAAATCAACAAAAATCATCTTGACTATAATTGTTAATGATGATGTCACCGATGGTGCAAATGTTGAATCTGTATTTATGTTCCCAGAAAGGAGAAAATGAGAAAAACAGAGACTGGGAGATAAAGACTAATGCTACTGACTGGAAGTGAACAGCATTACCATTTTTTCCCACTAGTAATATTACATCCAAACTTCTCTTAATTTAATTCATTATGTCACTTAATTCACTTTTATTTTAAAGAGCAGCCAGCATTCTGACCAGACCCTGATGTTCTGCCATTCTTTGCCCTTATTCCAGATGTTATCTAAGTCAACCACGACAACAGTGTCCTGTACAACTAGGATCTACAAATCAAATGGTGACCAGAAACCTGGTATTAGTGTTTGATGACCAGTTAAGACTTCATTGGCCACTTCTCCACTTCTTCTCCAGGGAAAATGAGACCCTAATTGTCATGTTACTTTGACCTCTTTTTTTCTTATTCAGTTTAAGAAGCTCTCTTTTTACAACAATGAATTTCTAATAATGTTACAGAAAGCTCTATCCTTTTGCTCCACTCAGAACACATGAGTGTGTTCAGCACACTTGCCACCATGGACAAGAAATGAGCTGATCTCAAATCCTCAGCCAATCCGTGCATAAAAAGAACACAACAAATGGTTCATACTAGCTCCTGACAACTGTAAAAACATTGCTCTAACAGGCTTCAAGACGACAGCAAATTCCATTTATTACTGTTGTTTACCTAAAAACAGTTCTTCTACTTTGAAACACAAAATATATGTGGTCTCTAGCGTCGATCGCCCATGCTGCAAACATGATATATTGTAATTAGCGCTTGCTAATTAAGAATACAATACATCTACTTAATTACCGGGCGACAGAACAAAAACAGAGTTGTGCAGAGTAAACGAGAACACAGATGAACACAAAGTAAAACAAATGGCTCAGTTCCTTGACACGTATGTAAATATAAGGATTCAGAAACCCTCTGTTGAAATGTCATCAACTCCCAGCTTACAATCTGACGAAAACTTGTTGTATATCACATAAGGGGTGGACAGAGTCCAAGATCAAGGGAACCAGTGACACTAATCAGTAGAACAACTGCATCACCTGAAGGGAATGTGGGTCGCGGCGTGGATCAGGTCTTGAGCCCTGGATGAATGGCCTGCTAAATAATGACTTAACTGTTTGTTTTCATACAATGACCTCAAGAAGTGTTTAAAAACCTAAGCCCCACTTAATATGTATACATTTAACTGTGTTTGATCAAACCAAGTGGCATTTGAAAACAAATGATACTAGACATTTTCTGGTAATTTATTTACATGAGCCATTTTTTTAAGCAACTGGGTTATTTTTACGACATTTTTAGTTCACACCGGTGTCAGTTTTTGAACAGTATATAAACTCTTTTTATGAAATATTTAGTTTGAAAAGTAATGTTTGAACTCTTGAGGGCTGAGTGGTGAACAACCTAACACTTAAACCAACACTTAACACTTAAACTTTCAAATGTACTTAACGTTACCTATAAAAATACCAGCCAGTATAAATGAAACTGTTCAATGAAGGTAAACACAGAGATAATTATAGTAACATTTTGACGATTTGACGATGAGTATCTGCAGTGTCAGTCCCATTCTGTGAGCACTTCACAAAACTGCATGTGGCTCACTTGGATGTGTTTAGAAGTTTCCAACAGAACATCAATTTCAGATCACAGATTAAAAGTTGTATAAACAAAGAACAATCACATTATGTCAGGGTGATCATTCAAGATTTTTTTCCTAATTCGGTGAAAAAGAACAGACCACTGAGAGTCCTTTTTTTAAATCCTCAGCTTTTCCCAACCCCTTTATTGAAAAGTATGCTTGTGATTTAAACGCGCATTCTTTAAAACAAGTGCAACTTGGATTGATGTTTGTCTGTATGACTGGCAGTAGTATGCAGGCAGAGACGATACCTTATCAAGGATGAGGGCAGCTTCATTGGTCTGTCTGTCAGTCACTAGAGTGAAAACCTCCTCCTCATTCCCAGATTCAAGTCTGTAGTCCACCTGCCAGTTGTCCCCACCCCACTCATCCGCATCCCATGCCGACACTACAGTGACTGTGGTGCCCACTGAGGAGTCCTCAGCCAGGTGGAAGGGTCCATACTAGAGAGACAGAAATGAATGAAAGATTTTGGTAACACTTTATTTTAAGAACCAATCCTCACTATTGACTTGCTTGTCAACATCCATATTACTAGCATATTGGCTGTTTATTAGTACTTTTAAAGCACATGCTGATGCCTTATTCTGCATGACCATATTTTAGATCCCTTCCTACCCAATACCTAAACATAACAACTAATATGCTAACTATTAATAAGCAACAAATTAGGAGTTTTTTGAGGGAAAACTCTTAGTTAATAGTGAATATGTGTTCCCTAATTTAAAGTGTTACCAAGATTTCTAAGATACTATATGTAATCATGATAAAAATGGAGAATAAAGAAATCATTAAAAAGTGCGTGATTAGAAAATAGAATATGTGTGACAACGTTATGGTCAGATCCTTTAAATGATATTTAGGTTTCTAAGGCAAAACAAAATGAACAAATATCTGCATAAAATGTGTAATTTTTGAGTGTTCTCCAGTTTAGGGAACCAGAACATGTAATGTAATGAAATATTAGCAATAGACACAAAATTGTGTGGTCAGTAAAATTATTATTATTTTTTTTATTAAAAAAATACATTTATTTAGCAATAAAAAAAATAATTAAATAAATCTGTCATCATTTACTCACTCTCAAGTTGTTCCAACATTCTTCAAAATATCTTCTTTTTTTGCACAACAAATGAAATAAATTCATTCAGATTTGGAACAAATCTGGAGTAAACAATGACAGAATTTTCACTTTTGGGTGAACAATCCATTTACATCGATCAAAAGTAACAGAAAAGACATCTATATAGTTATAAAAAAACTGTTTAAAAAAATCTGTTCTTTTATACTTTCTGTTCTGAATCCTGAAAAAGATGCATCACGGTTTCCACAAAAATATTAAGCAGCACAGCTGTTTTCAACTGTAATAATAATACGAAATGTTGTGGGCCCCCAATAGTGCTGGGCCCCCTTTACTCAGTCCCACCTTTTCCCTGAATAGCAGTGGAGAAAGATGCTTTCTGAATTCTACCAGCAGGAGCTAACAACACCTAACTAGACAACCTTGGCCACTTGGTGTTGCTGACACTGAGAACTTTATAGTCTTAGAAGAGCTGTATTCTGATGCTAGTTACTCTTTCACTGGTCTGGCCATCCAAGGACTGTCAACACACCTCCAGCACTTCCCAAATAAACTCCTGACATAAAGTCATGACTTTCTAAAAATAATATTACTTTAAGAGAGAGTAAAATATATAAAAAGAAAACAAAAAATAAGGTGTCTCACAGGAGAGTAGAAAATGTGTGTTTGTGTGTACTGTATTTCTGCAAACAGTGCTGTTCATTAATCTAAGTACAGCATCAAAACATCATTCCTCTAAGAAGTTTTGGCTGCATCTTAGTGCCTAAAATTCATTGTCAACTAAATTAGGGGATACATAATGAAAACGAAAGGCACAAAGCCAGTGAGGAGAGCTTTATGGATGTTTCCAGAATGCAGAACAGGGCATGTCTTCCTCTTCTTTCAAAGCGGATCTAAATATACCTGCTGAATTCATGCCAGCGCTGCTTTTTTACCCCTCCACTGCTGCTTCCCTCCATCTTCACACCAGCACTCTGTCTGCACCCACGTACATCTCCTGTATTATTCACAACACGTAGGCGTAAACACACAGGGTGTTTTCCAGAAATCAGGGACCACTGCCTGCCTCCATCCTGCATCTGTTCTCCATCTCTCCTTTTGCTCATCTCTTCCCGTCACTGTAGTCAGTGAGCATCTCCTGTTTATTATTCAACTCGGCTGCATCAGTGAACAAAGATGATGACATAAGAAAGGCACTTAAGGCTGTTCTGCATATGCGCTCATGTACCATAAATAGATAGCGCTACAAATTAGTAAATGGTCATATTTAAAACGTCACCTCAGGATAAGATTTTTTTTCCAAAAATAGGAGAATCCGATATGTTCTGCAAACTTTTGATCTTATGCTCCACATTAACATCACATCAGTCTATATTTCATTTGTTTACTCAATGCAATTACTGATATTAACATTCTGGCCAATACAGATAAAGTGAAAAATTATGTTATTGTTCTGGTTGATAATTAAAAATTATTTTTATCATTTATACTTATAACTTTTCTATAAATTAAAACTGATATTAAAGGGCACATATTATGCCCCTTTTTTACAATATGTAATATTGGTCTTGGGTGTCCCCAGAATGTGTCTGTGAAGTTTCAGCCCAAAACACCCAACAGATAATTTATTATAACAGCTGGAAAATTACATTTTTGGGGTGTGTCCAAAAAAAGAGCTGTTTTGGAGTGTATCGCTTTAAATGCAAATGAGCTGCATATTCCCTCCCCGTCCCCAGAAGAGGGCGTCGGGTATACGTCTCTCTGCATTGCATATCTACAGCAGTAAACAACGGCCGGTAGAAGCAACATAACTGAGAGCGAGAGAACCGGTGTTTAGCCGTACATATGGGAAGCACAAATGCACTGAAAGTGGGACGAAACAGCGCAATGTTACAGAGCTCGCGCAGTGCTGACCTGCCATCGCGCTACCGAACAAATCTCGCGCTACAAACGGCGCGAACTAATCTCACAAGCACGCGCTGATCAGTTAAAAAAAAACTTAATGTACGCACACAAATACGGTCAAAATAACGACACGACATTCACAAAGGAGTCTGGAGTGATACATCTTAGGTAGATGTTGAGGCGCATTACCTTGAAAAATGAACTTAATGTACGCACACAAATACGGTCAAAAAACGCTAAGCACTATAACGACACGACATTCACAAACGAGTCTGGAGTGATACATCTTAGGTAGATGTTGAGGCGCATTACCTTGAAAAATGAAAGTAATCCTCAGCAGCTCAGATGTTGGGAGAAAATGAAGACTCTTATGTTCAGTCTTACAGACATTGTTGACGTTACAGCTGCTTTAGCGCAGTGTTGCCAGATTGGATGAACTCACAAAAACCTACCAAAAACTTTAAATGGCAAAACAATGTGATGGAATATGTAAATCAAGGTTGATAAGGGCCATTTTTAACTGCTTAAAACAAAATAGTGATGACAAAATAATATAAATATAACTTTAGATAAATTTCCCAGGTAAACGGATCGAATCGGGGCAAATAGCCTACATTAGAGAATTCAGCTACCGAACAATAAAATATGCAAGCAGACACAAGAAATGGATCATTTTCAATGTCAGCAGTCAGAATAATCCAATTTAAAGGGGTCATATGATGCAATTAAAAATGTTCCTTTCTCTTTGGAGTGTTACAAGCTATTGGTGCATGAAGAAGAGAACATAAATAAAATATGCAAGCAGACACTGTCAAAACGGCAATCAAGAAATGGATCATTTTCAATGTCAGCAGTCAGAATAATCCAATTTAAAGGGGTCATATGATGCAATTAAAATTTTTCCTTTCTCTTTGGAGTGTTACAAGCTATTGGTGCATGAAGAAGATCTGTAAAGTTGCAAAGACTATGTCTCAAATCCAAAGAGATATTCTTTATAAAAGTTAAGTCAACCACGCCTACTTAAAACGGCTCGTTCTAACACGCCCCCACATGTCTACGTCACAATGTGGGAAGATTTGCATAACGCCGCCCAAATGTTCACGCAAAGAAAGAAGGCGTAACTTTAATTCTCGCTGTAGTATTGTTGTTGCCGTGTGTTTCGTTGTGAAAGCGAAACTACTTTGTTTGGCCTTCCAAAAGAGGACGATATCCGCTTCGTCATGCCTGGAGCTGATCCGTGCTGGTCGCTGAGG